ACCATTTCACAAGATGTAAACAACACTGGTCCAGAAGCACTTCCTGTTTCAGTTTGTAACTGTTTTCTTTATTTCACATGTAAAGAAAACATCTTAAAGATGTTTGTTTAACTTTTTGATTCAGTTTTATGTTCTGTTGGTTGTATTTTATCCCAGCTTTTATGTAGTGTTAAAAAACTGAAACAGGAAGTACTTCTGGACCAGTGATGTTTACATCTTGTGAAATGGTCTATATAGAACCATTTTGGAGTTCCATATATGAAGCGGGGGATGGAACCATTTCTGGTTCTAAATAGAACCATTTCTTCTAAGAGTGTACACAGAAGCGCTGCGCTGTTACACTACGTATAAATAAATGAATTGAATAAAGTCATATTTTTTGTTTTGTTTTTTGCACAAAAAGTATTCTCGTCGCTCGATAAACTAAAGGTTGAGCTGCTGTCGTCACTCGGACCATTTTAACGATGTCTTTAATAACTTTTCTGGGCCGACAAGTTTAAACTACAATAGAAGCTTATGGAGGAGTGATCCAGCTCTCAGATTGAATCACAAATATCTTAATTTGTGTCCTGAAGATTAACGAAAGTCTTACGGGTTGAACAACATGAGGGCGAGTAATTACTGACAGAGTTTTTATTTTGGGGTGAACTATCCCTTTAATGAGGAACTAATTGAGCAAATTGTTCTGTTTCTGAGATGCATGAACTTAAAATAAATGCAGCATGTTCTAGACTCAAAATCACCCGTCGCATCCCCAACATTAAAATATTTCTCATCTGCATTTTCACATAATCCTGACAGAGCCAAACTCAAATCTCCCTTCAGAAGTTTAAAGGACACAGAGTTTCATTCACACTCGCCGAGGTCAGAACGGCCGTCACGTAATCTCCTTCACTCCACTCTCCGTGTCTTTACCCTTATGAGGCAAAAACAATTTCCTGAAAAAGTCAAGAGGTTGATGTAATTCTCACACTCGTGATTCGCCGTGTTTCTCTCTCGAAGGGCATCCCGGATCACTCTTCATTTGTGCTTTTCGTCCGTCTTTTACTATCTTACTCTTGGCTCAGTGATCAGGTTCCACTTTAATGGTGTAATCACATTTTAATAATCAAAAAGGATGTCTAATCAATGTTAAACAATATGTCCTAAGTCGAAAATCTGTGTTGGATTCTGTGCTCAATGATTTAATTAATTCACATTTTAATAATATTTAGAAATTATAATCAGAAATTCCGTTTTGGATTGATCTAAAACAATTGTATTATTAAAAACAGTGGTAATCAAATGCATAAAACTACATTCTAAATTAAAACGTGCTTGGATGAAAAACTAAAATAATGTTTTAATAAACTGTATTGTTATTATTGTTGTTATTATTACTGTGAGAAGTTAATTCTACAGTTCATTCGTAACATACTTGTCACAATTTCTTCAAGTTGAACCGCATTTTGGCGGGTTACGTTGAAGAGCTTTGAGTGTGTGTGAATCTACCGATACACTTAAATCTTTCCAACCACCTAGAAACGCCCTAACAACCACCCAAAAACCTTTACACAGACAACACAGGCCACATCGACAGAGCTTTCCCCATCCAATCTTTTTTTTTCCTCTTTCTAAATGTTTGTTCGTAAACACTGACCAACCAGTGTCCATTAGCAGCATGCTAGCATGTTATGGACAACAACAACTCAACCTGTAAGAAATCGAAAGAACATTCTACATAGCAACCACCTAAACAACTTCCTGGAAACCACCCTAGCAAACACCATTAACATTTTTAATATCTAGTTTTTTTGGGGTTTTTTTAGGATTTCTGTTCCACTGCATGGTAACCACCTAGCAAGGCCCTGGAAACCACCCAGACAACCTTAGCAACAACCTAGCCTCTCCCTGGAAACCACCTACAATGCCCTAGAGTTATCTTTAAGGATTAACTTTGGTTTCACTACATAGCAACCACCTAAACAACTCCCTGGAAACCTCCCAGAACACCCTAGTATCATGGTTGTGACATTTGCATGAGCAAACACTATATTAACATATTTAAAATCTAGTTTTCTTAAGGTATTTTTACTTTTTGATCTACTTCATATTAGCAAAAAAACTTAAAAGGCCCTGGAAACCACCCAGAATGCCCTAGCACACAACTAGCAACTCCCTGGAAGCCATCTACAACGCTCTAGAGCTATCTTTAAGGACTAACTTAGGTGTCACTATGGCTTCAGTGTCCCAAAACGAACCGCCAATACGATACAAAATTTGTTCGTATACAGCTAACCCTCTAACCCCGCATGTTCCTTTCGATCTTCTATTCCCCCTTTTTAAGTCTTCTCCATCTCTGCGCTTCTCACTTCTTCCGTCCCTCGGTCTCTCGACAGATTGAGCACCATGTGTGCATGTGCCCACGGTGAAGTGGGCATCAGGGAAGGGACCCGCCTGGCACACTGTACCACGAGTGAGCCGAGGTCAACAACTGATACGGGACCAGCGGTGGGGAAACTTACTTTGAAAAGTAATGCATTGCAATATTGAGTTACTCAAGATACTTCTAATGAGTTAAGCTGTACAGGGCGCTATAGACGTGCAACTACTAAAACAACTAGATTCTGATGTCTGGAGCACAAAGCTGAGGGATGACGCACATCCTTTTGGGTTCGTTTCAAAAAGCCCTTCTGAATTTAATTTCAATCATCAGAGCTAAAGCTCTCTGCAAGCAAATATTAATATCTGTGCTCTCGAGTTGGTTGTTTATGGGCTGTTATAAGTCCATTATTGTGAATTAAAGTAGCCGGCAGGAACTGTGGTAATCACGTTAGCGAGCTAAGATGAGTTTAGAAGTGTCACGCTGTCGTCCAGCTGGACTGTTTTTCTCCACACACTCATATTACACATAATTGACTTTCTTCCTTCACAGATTTTCTTGCTTCTGAGCTTCATGAATATCCTGTTTTACCCTCAAAGTTTCAACTGGTTTGGCTGGTCGATTCTGTAGATTTCACTATATATTCTGTTTTTATAATAAGAGCTACTGTGTCTGATGTATTGGATCACCTGAAAACCACTTAACAACAACTTAGAAACCACCCATAACACGGTTGTGACTTTTTCATGGGCAAACACATTAACATTTTTCAAATCTAGTTATTTTCAGAATTAACTTTGGTGTCCCTACATAGCAACCCCCTAGAAACCACACAGAATAACCTAGCAACAACCTAGCTACTCCCTGGAAACAATCTACAACACCCTTCTATCATGGATGTGACATTTTTCACTATAATTCAATTTCTTTTTCCACTGCATAGTAACCACCACCTAGCAATGCCCTGGAAACCCCCCCAGAACACCCTAGCAACCACCTAGCTACACCCTGGAAGCCACCTACAACGCCCTAGAGTTATCTTTAAGGATTAACTTAGGTGTCACTACTTAGCAACTCCCTGGAAACCTCCCAGAACACCCTAGTATGTAGGGTCTATGTAGATGTCACTACATAGCAACCCCCTGGAAACCACCCGGGACATTATAGCAACTCCCTCGAAACTATCCACAACATCCTCCTATCATGGTTGTTACATTTGCATGAGCAAACACCATTAACATTTTTAATATCTAGTTTTTTTTTAGGATTCACTTTCTGTTCCACTGCATACCTAGCAAGGCCCAGAAAACCTTAGCAACAACCTAGCTACTCCCTGGAAACCACCTACAATGCCCTAGAGTTATCTTTAAGGATTAACTTTGGTGTCACTACATAGCAACCACCTAAGAAACTCCATGGAAACCTCCCAGAACACCCTAGTATCATGGTTGTGACATTTGCATGAGTAAACACAATATTAACATATTTATAATCTAGGTTTTTTTTTTCTAACTTAAAAGGCACTGGAAATCACCCAGAATGCCCTAGCACACAACTAGCAACTTTCTGGACACTGACAACAACACCCAAGCATTATCTTTAAAAATTAACTGTGGTTGTCACTACATTGCAACCCCTTAATAGCTCCCTGGAAACAAACAAGATCACCTTAGCAACTCTTTGAAAACCACCCAGAACACTCTACCATTGTGTTTGTAACTTTTGCATGGGAAAACACCTATTTTAATTTATTATTATTTTTTTTTTTACAAATCTCTTTGTTCCACTGCATAACAACCAACTAGCAATGGCCTGGAAACCACCCAGAAGACGCTAGCAACAACCTAGCTACTCCCTGGAAACCACCTACAACATTCTAGCACTATCTTCAAAAATTAACTTTGGTTGTCACTGCATAGCAACCTAGCAGGTCCCTGGAAACCAACAAAATCACCCAAGCAACTCCCTGGAAAACACCAAGCATCATGGTCATGACTTTTGCATTGGAAAACCCCACTGAGATTTTTAAAATCTAGTTATTTTTACAAATTACTTTTTGCTCCACTGCATAACAACCAACACCCTAGCAACCACCTGGCATCTCACTGGAAAACACCTACAACATTTTAGAGTTATCCTCAACAACTTACTTTGGTGTCACTACCTACCAACCACCCACAACACCCTGGCTTCCACCTAGCAACACCCTAGAAACCACCCAGAATACCCTAGCAACAACTACGCAACTTCCCAGAAACCACCTACAACATTCTAGCGTTATCTTCAAAAATGTACCTTGGTGTCACTACATGGCAACCACCTAGCAACACCCTGGAATCCCTGGCTACTACCTATCAACGACCTAGAAACCACCCTTGCATTGTGCGTTTGACAGTTACATAGGCAAATACCATTAAAACTATTAAAATCAGGTTATTTGTACCATTGTTTTGCCACCACAACAGATGTAGAAACACACTTCACTCATAATTCACACATCATTCTCACGAGCGAGAGTCCCCGCCGCCCGCTCACCACGACGACAGATGCCAATCCCATAATGCACCACCTTCACAGGAAGCTTTCCCTGCTGTTTTTGAGATTTCTTCATTATGTTAACCAGCTGGTCGTCACTCACCTTCTCCTGATATTGCCTGCGCGAGGAGTCCAGCGACTGGATCAGCGCCGTGGCGTGGCCAACAAACATGGCGTAGCACGTGGCACCCACGATCATGCTGAGGATGGTCAGCCACACGTCTGTCATGCCGACGGGCGGGTACATGCCATATCCGATGCACAGCATGTGGCTCATGGCCTTGAAGAGAGCGTAGGAATACTGCTGACCCCACGTGTCGTTCTGAGAGGAGAGAGAGAGAGAGCGAGAGACCATCACAAACACTTTATGTCCACCTGATAGATCTATACCATGTTTATGTAGTGATAAAGTTAGTATTTATGATATACTCACATTGACTTTGATCTATGTATCTATCTATCTATCTATCTATCTATCTATGTATCTATGTATCTATCTATCTATCTATCTATCTATCTATCTATCTATCTATCTATCTATCTATCTATCTATCTATCTATCTATCTGTCTGTCTGTCTGTCTGTCTGGCTCTATCAATCACTAGCAAGGGCTAGCAACTAGCTTAGGACAAGCTAGCAATGTGCTAATTCATGTTAGAAACATGCTAGCAATGTCATGCTAAATCATGTTAACCAAATGTCAAAAAGTGTTAATGTGTTAAATCATGCTAACAATGTGTTAAAACATGTTAGAAACATGCAAATTAATGCTAGCAACATGCTAATTAATGTTAACACATTGTGTGTAAAGTGCTAAGACATACTAGCAAACTGGTAATACATGATAGAAATGTGTTAAAGCATGCTAATTCATGCTAGTAATTTGCAACAATATACTAATTCAAGCTAGCTTTGTGCTAATTAATGGTAGCAACATGCTAATTCATGTTAGAATTGTGTTAAAAGATGCTAGCAATGTGCTAATTCATGTTAGAAACATGTTTACAACATGTTAAATCATGCAAACCAAATGTTACATGATAAAACATGCTGGCATTTGGCTAATTCAATGCTAGCAATGTGTTAGAACATGTTAATTCATTCTAGCAATGTGTTAAAACATTCTAGATAGTTGCTAATCAATGTGTTAAAACATGTTAATTCATGCTAGCAATATGCAAAACATGCTAATTCTTGTAGCATTGTGTTAATTAATGCTAGCAACATAATGTTAACATTGTAATAAAATGTGTTAGCAATGTGTTAATTCATGCAAGCAACATGTTATAACGTGCTAATTCATGATAGCTAAACCGTGTTGGCAAAACAATGTCAATATCAATGTGTTAAATTATGTAAACAACATGCTAAAACATGTTAGCGATATGTTAATTCATTCTATCTAAAGATAGAATATACGTGTCTTTAGTAAACTGACAACGTGAAGAGAAAGTTTGCGCTGCAGTCAGCTGTTAGTAAATCTGGCCTTTTGTGTGCATAAATAAAAATATACATCCAATATCATCCAAAGGCTGAAGAATGTTAAGGTATAATCTTTTCAGCTACATAACTGTATGCATTGAAACAGAAAGTTGAAACACTTCCAGTGACTTCATGAATATGAATCCAGATTGACTCCTGAGAGTTTGGAGTGGGAGAAAACAGAAAACACAGTGACATAAAATGAAAATATGTACGAACAAGGCCGGAAAAGAGAAATGCGAGAGAGCTGCAGAAAAGTGGGTCAGCTATTTAGAAAGATGTGAATTTCTGTGTGCCTCTAAAATAGTGAATAAATTGCCCTTGTCCTGTGGATGTGTGCGCGAGTCCGTGAGGAATCAATATTGGCTCCGTCTGATGTGACATGTCCAGATTGCTTTCAGACTCATTTCTATAGAGGCTCAATCCTGAGAGAGCGACAGCTTATTACAGCGCTCCAAAAAGAGGAAAAAGATCATACAGTTTCATAATGACGGCCCCGTCGTCACTGGAATAGCTGGATCTAACCACGTAAAGGAGCTGCGGGCGTCAAACGTGAATTTGAAAAGATACAGAGTGGCACTCTTTTACTTTAATACATGTTAATTTAAAATATTTAGAAAAATTCTCACTTAAGTTGTACCTCTATGTAAAGGAAATATGAGGAAAATATTTTATAAATATTTTGTATTATTATATTTATTTATGTTATAAATATTTTGAAGGAAAAACAAAATGCTAACCTGGTTAATGTGTTTCTCTGACAAAATTGGTTTTATACAATATTTGTCGCTCTATCGTTACTTTAAATGTCTCGGTGTCGTTCTATCGTTACTTTAAATGTCTCGGTGTCGCTCTATCGATACTTTAAATGTCTCAGTGTCGCTCTATCGATACTTTAAATGTCTCAGTGTCGCTCTATCGTTACTTTAAATGTCTCAGTGTCGCTCTATCGTTACTTTAAATGTCTCAGTGTCGCTCTATCGATACTTAAAATGTCTCAGTGTCGCTCTATCGATACTTTAAATGTCTCGGTGTCGCTCTATCGATACTTTAAATGTCTCGGTGTCGCTCTATCGATACTTTAAATGTCTCAGTGTCGCTCTATCGATACTTTAAACGTCTCAGTGTCGCTCTATCGATACTTTAAATGTCTCAGTGTCGCTCTATCGTTACTTTAAATGTCTCAGTGTCGCTCTATCGTTACTTTAAATGTCTCAGTGTCGCTCTATCGATACTTTAAATGTCTCAGTGTCGCTCTATCGATACTTTAAATGTCTCAGTGTCGCTCTATCGATACTTTAAATGTCTCAGTGTCGCTCTATCGTTACTTTAAATGTCTCAGTGTCGCTCTATCGTTACTTTAAATGTCTGTGTTGCTCTATCGATACTTTAAATGTCTCAGTGTCGCTCTATCGTTACTTTAAATGTCTGTGTTGCTCTATCGATACTTTAAATGTCTCAGTGTCGCTCTATCGTTACTTTAAATGTCTCAGTGTCGCTCTATCGATACTTTAAATGTCTCAGTGTCGCTCTATCGTTACTTTAAATGTCTCAGTGTCGCTCTATCGATACTTTAAATGTCTCAGTGTCGCTCTATCGTTACTTTAAATGTCTCAGTGTCGCTCTATCGTTACTTTAAATGTCTCAGTGTCGCTCTATCGATACTTTAAATGTCTCAGTGTCGCTCTATCGATACTTTAAATGTCTCAGTGTCGCTCTATCGATACTTTAAATGTCTCGGTGTCGCTCTATCGATACTTTAAATGTATCAGTGTCGCTCTATCGATACTTTAAATGTCTCGGTGTCGCTCTATCGATACTTTAAATGTCTCAGTGTCGCTCTATCGATACTTTAAATGTTTCAGTGTCGCTCTATCGATACTTTAAATGTCTCGGTGTCGCTCTATCGTTACTTTAAATGTCTCAGTGTCGCTCTATCGATACTTTAAATGTCTCGGTGTCGCTCTATCGATACTTTAAATGTCTCAGTGTCGCTCTATCGATACTTTAAATGTCTCGGTGTCGCTCTATCGATACTTTAAATGTCTCAGTGTCGCTCTATCGATACTTTAAATGTCTCAGTGTCGCTCTATCGATACTTTAAATGTATCAGTGTCGCTCTATCGTTACTTTAAATGTCTCGGTGTCGCTCTATCGATACTTTAAATGTCTCGGTGTCGCTCTATCGATACTTGTCTCAGTGTCGCTCTATCGATACTTTAAATGTCTCAGTGTCGCTCTATTGATACTTTAAATGTCTCAGTGTCGCTCTATCGATACTTTAAATGTCTCGGTGTCGCTCTATCGATACTTTAAATGTCTCGGTGTCGCTCTATCGATACTTTAAATGTCTCGGTGTCGCTCTATCGATACTTTAAATGTCTCGGTGTCGCTCTATCGATACTTTAAATGTCTCGGTGTCGCTCTATCGATACTTTAAATGTCTCAGTGTCGCTCTATCGATACTTTAAATGTCTCAGTGTCGCTCTATCGATACTTTAAATGTCTCAGTGTCGCTCTATCGATACTTTAAATGTCTCGGTGTCGCTCTATCGTTACTTTAAATGTCTCAGTGTCGCTCTATCGATACTTTAAATGTCTCAGTGTCGCTCTATCGTTACTTTAAATGTTTCAGTGTCGCTCTATCGATACTTTAAATGTCTCGGTGTCGCTCTATCGATACTTTAAATGTCTCAGTGTCGCTCTATCGATACTTTAAATGTTTCAGTGTCGCTCTATCGATACTTTAAATGTCTCGGTGTCGCTCTATCGATACTTTAAATGTCTCAGTGTCGCTCTATCGTTACTTTAAATGTCTCGGTGTCGCTCTATCGATACTTTAAATGTCTCGGTGTCGCTCTATCGATACTTTAAATGTCTCAGTGTCGCTCTATCGATACTTTAAATGTCTCAGTGTCGCTCTATCGTTACTTTAAATGTTTCAGTGTCGCTCTATCGATACTTTAAATGTCTCGGTGTCGCTCTATCGTTACTTTAAATGTCTCAGTGTCGCTCTATCGATACTTTAAATGTCTCAGTGTCGCTCTATCGTTACTTTAAATGTTTCAGTGTCGCTCTATCGATACTTTAAATGTCTCGGTGTCGCTCTATCGATACTTTAAATGTCTCAGTGTCTGAATCTGATCTCTGACTCTCTGTTACTGTAAGACCGAGGCAATCACAAAAACACCAATTATCCCAATTAAGACCACAGGCCTCGTCGATAAACTCATACATGACGGATCCTGAGAGAACTTTTCTGCCAGTTTTGCCGTCCCCACACTCATCGAGTTGATTCAGGGTCGAGGCTCGGGTCTCTGGCATTCAGCTAGAAAACTAAATCTCATGGGCGTCAGGAACAAGGCTGTCCTCTCTCTCTGGACTCGCATGTCCTCTTGACTAAAAACAGAAGGGAATTAAAGCCCAGCTCACTGGAGAACTGTCAATACCAGACGGATATCGAATTAAGGCTGGAGAAAAACCACAATCTGTGACACTTCACCTCACTAACTCACCAGTCTTCCGTAATAACACCGCTCACCGTAACTTACTACAACTGCAATGAGCTGTCAACAAATATTCTATCATTATATGAGTCATTTTACATCACAGAAACCTATA